GGCTTTTTCTCTCTCTTAAATTTAACTTTCAGCTGATGATTTATGTGAATTAATAAAGGGAGAAGATAGGATTCAAATAGTAAAATTTATGAGCTTCTGCTTAATGCTATGGGAAGAAGAAACCTGATTAGCTGTCTTAAAGTTCTACCAGGCTGTTGGATGGAGATTTCTGAGCTTTGTGTCAGACGAATGGGGCTGATAGCACCTTATGCCGATGGGCTGGGAAATGCTAGGAGACCCTTCTGGAAGGGTTTGATCCAATGGATAGTGTCTCCTGGTCTATCAGTGAAAGCTTTTACACTTGCAAGGCCTTTTAGCTTCAACGGGAAAGTATCCAGGAAGGATAGTTGTACAACACCGTAGCAGGCTGCAGCACGACAGAGCTTAATATTCTAACTGATATAAAAGTTTAATCCCTGTTTCAGGGACACCTCGTGATTCCCGTGCTCCGGTGTCTGGCCTGCCCCCTTGGCTGGGATTAGCAGGGGGTCTTCGCTGTGCTGCTGGATGGAGCCGGGCCCGGGTGACTTCCAGCAGGAAGCGCTGCCGGTCCGTTACGGTGGGAACACCAACGTGTCTGGGAAGGAAGATGAAGCTGGCACTTACATGCAGCACTGGGAGAGCGGGGCCAGGATGGAGGTTTCATCATGGGAATGCCGCCCGAACCTGGGGGGATAAGCAGAGACTGCAGAGCTTTAGTGCCTGCCCAGCCCCTTGCCCACCTCCCCAGTGTCCTCCCACAGCCTCACCCTCTGGCGTTGTCCAGATGTAAGAGGAAGCCGTCGTCCCCAAACTTGGTGAACATTTCATAGTGGTGACGGTCCATGTTCCCTGGTAAAGGGCAGACAGAGGAACAGAGTTTCCCTTGCATGTGACCAAGTAATTTTCTGAACTACCCTATATTTTTTCAGATCTGCATGAAATACTTGTTGCCTTGCTGGAAGTGTCTAAGATGCTCCGAGCTGCTGCTTTCATCTTGCTGGACCCCCCCGGGGAGTGGGCTGGGGTGGGCCTGGGGGCTCCCCCTCACCTGCACATCAGGAGGGGTTGTGCTGCCTGGCTGTGGGGAGACAGTAGTCTCTCAAAACTGTCTCTGGAGCAGAAGGGATGGCTTTGAGAAACTTCATGGCATGGGAGGGCAGGCAGACTGATGCCGAAGGCCCACACGGAATGAGGGAACGTTATTTCCCCCTTCATCATACCTATTAGGAAGTCAAATATGGCCATGTCAATGATGTTAAGCAGGCGGTTGCCATTGCTGTAGGGGTAGATCTCCCTCACCGTGTTGCAGTAGAGCGGATTCACTTCCCACCTGCAGGAGATGGAGGAGAAGGGGGAGATGCACTTAGTAGTTGCTGCTGCTGTGTCCCAACAGCACCCCAAAGCCGGTCTCCCGTGCAGAGGTGGAGAGAAGGACGACTTAAATCTCCGTCCTTGTGCATGCAGGAGACTGGAAGTCAAACCCAGTCAATGCCCAGGCATTAAGAGTTATTAGACTAATTATGGGCAATCTCTGAACCTTGGCCTTCCTCTGCCTGGACATACAATTTCTGTACGTATCTCTGTGTGTTTGTATCCTGCTTATTCTCCTTCCCACGCGCTCCCTGCAATGCAGATATGGGAAGCAGCATCATTTACCCACTTACTCCTCTTTTCCATCAAACGAGTAGGACCGGATCCACGGGTTTGGGATGGAGAGTCGTGGCGCCAGGTTGAGGGACGGCAGGAAGGCGGAGAGGGACCCTTCTAGGAGGTGAGGGTTCCCACACACCGCGTACTCAGTCTTGCACATGTACGGGCACTTGGCAAAGAAGCACACGTTGCTGGCTGGGAGGAGAAGAGGGAGGAGAACTGGGGAAAGGAGCTACGATCTGCAGGAGGCTGCAGGGTAGCCTGGACTGGCCTCTTCCCCATCGCGTGACGGTGACTGTGTATGCTGTGGCATATGTAACCACATCATGGATGCGAAACTGCTGTTTGGCAGGATTGATGGAGGATGGCTGGATTTTGGTTGATGGACAGACCTGGTTCCATGCTAGGGGAAAGGCTGGGGAAAATTGGGCAGGCGAGTAGATCTGGTAGATAATTCCAGCTAGAGGTTGAAGGACACCTCTGCTGTAACCATGTCTTTGCGCATCTGTTTCACCCAAGACTTTAATTTCTGCTCAACAGCATAAGTCCTGCTGGCCCCTTTTGCCTGCAGACCCTGCCCTTCCACCCACCGTGGACCAACATGCCTAGTCCCAGCTCGCGGCAGGCAAGCGCTCGCCTACCTGGTGAGATGAAGAAGACACTCTGCAGGATCTCGTTCTTGGTGACCTCCAGGATCTCCTTGGTGACGTTGATCAACCTCCCAACTGTGGGCGGCACCCTCCGGAAATCCAGGATCCTGCACAAAAGGGACGGCTGCTCAGAGCCTGCGGTGCAAAGGGTCGTTACTGCACAGGAGGGCAACGTGGGACGGCAGATGTGGCCCTCGTCCCTCCGTTGGTAAACCAGGGGCCTTCTGATGACTGCACCCACATGGGTTTTTTTCCTCTCAGCTTCTTTCTAGCAAATAGCCAGGATCATTTTACCCTCTGGACCAAAATGCAGCTGAGTTCGGGTTTTGGTATTTTAATAGCTGCCGCCTGGAATGATCTGGATGTTCTCCAGGATTCATGTCTTTTCCCTAACCGGTTTCTCCCATCCCCTTGTACGCAAGCTGGGTCCTTGGGCAGGCAGAACAGCCCTTCAGGCCCTTCTACAATGTTGGGTTTGACACGGAGCAAAGATGCGTTGAACCTGGTACAACACGGCTGAGACAGCAGGAGGCGAGGAGTGATCACCCCACTCGGAGGCACTCATGCCCAACTGATTCATCTCAAATATCCTTAAAAAAAATCAGGGCCCGGGGCAGGCAGGCATTCATGTCAGTGAATGGAAAGCCGCTGTTGATTGCTGAGTCAGTAACACGGGGTGAACTGCTAATGCTGTGCTTTGCTCCTTGGGTAATGCCCTCTGCTTCTGAGAATCTGACACAAAACAGGATTTAGCCTGTTACTTATTGAGCAATGTTTAAAGAAAAAATTGCTTTCATCTAGCATCTTTCAGCTCTAAAAACCACAAAGCACTTCAGAAAAGCAGTCTGGCCTCATTTTTCTGGCAGTGGAGCTGGGATGCAGAGACGCAAGCTGATGGTAGGTGAGTCAACTAGAGTCACTGGGGTGATGTAGGGGCAGAGCTGGAAAGGGAGTTCAGCTCTCTTCATTCCCTCGCTCAGTTTGAGCTACAGGACTTACAGTCTAGTCCTGCTTATCATATAAGTTGGGTGTGGGAACTGGAGAACCCCATCCACTGTCATCATCAGGGATCACTTTCCTCAATGTTCAATACTCATCCCATTGAGGGGAAGAAGGCTGCTGCTCTCCTCTTCTAATAAGGGTATTTTTGATTTTATGAAATACAGAGCCTGCTGGGAAGAGGTGCCAGGTTAATTGCTCATTAGCTGAGGGCTTGAAACTGCATTGCTGCAGTTTATCTCAATCCAAACATGCCTTGATTGCTGATTGAGCATGGGACTCCCGTACCGGGAGGGGATCAAGGCTGCACCCAGAGCTCATCTTTGTGCTTTGATGCATGGGAGGGATCATGTGCGTGTGACAAATACCTGACCCATCTGCAACCTGGCCTTCATCTGCCAGCCTGTTCTCATGCAGCGGCCAAGGTGAAGCTGATCCTGGGCTTCAGACGAGAGCCAGAGCCGCCCCGTCCCCAAGTAATGCAGCAGCTCCCAAAAGGGTGCTGCAAAGCAACCGCTTATCTAAGGCCAAGCAGCTCTGCAGGACTCAGCACGGCTTTCCTCATGCCCAAGCTCTCCATGGGCAAAAGACCAGGCGCTGGCAGCCGGAGGAGGCAGGTGCCGCGGCAGGCCCCTACCTGTCCAGGTGGAAGGCGGCGATCTCTGCGTTGTGCCGCTGGAAGTCAACGAAGTAGAAAAAGTCCTCAGGAGTCTCTTCGTCACGTTTCTGCCTGGGAGAGATCAAGGGGGTTAATCTAACCGGGCACGGCAGGGCAGGCAGGCACCGGTGTGGGCAGCTGGAGGCAGCCTGGACACAAAGCGGCGGCACAAGGACAGTGCACCCAGGGACAGCCGATGTGCTTGGGAACAGCTGTCGTGTGGCCACGCCGGTGCCAGGGCCACCGGGCAGAGCTGCAGCACCAGGACCCAAAGTGCCCGGTGCTGAGCTGGAGCCAACCCTCTGTGCCGGGGAGCAGCGCTTGCGCCCTGGCTCGGTGCCGGCTGGGGGAGGGAGGCAGAAGGGCTGACTGGGGGCTTTAAAACTATTTGTGCCAGAGTTTAGACCCACTTACTCAGGACAGCATTTCGAGTGGGTATAACACTGGGGGATGCTAGAGGCCATGCTGCACTTCTCACATCCCCGTGGGAGGCAGAAAAGAGCGCAGGTTTGATGCTCTCATATCCCCGTGATGGGAACCCCAGCTCATTTAATTTCATTTTCTGGCTGTCACACAGTGCCCCAATATATGTATTATGTGAATTTGCATGCTCGGCCTCCCAAGCAGCTGCACGTCACAGGAAAGCCCACCGGCATTGCTGAGCCCTCCTGGCTCAGCTGAGTGCACGGATGCTTTCCTTCACCTCCCAGACCTGCCGGACACTGGGCAGAGGTGGATGGAAACCAACGGGACAGGAGCTGGCTGCTTTCTGGATGAGCAAACCATCACAGTCGGTGTGCTGCCAGCTGCCCTGCCTGTGCACGGAAAGTAAAGTGAGAGGGAATAAATGTGAAGAGTCCCAAGGGGCTAGAAATAAGTGCAGAACCAATTTAAAACTCCTGTTTGAGGTGACCGGGACTGATGGCTATTTCTTGGAAATACTCTGGGGAATCCAAGGAGAAACAAGGTAAAACACAAAGTCAGCTGGGGAAGAGGAAGAAATGGGCAGTCCCTAACAGCAAATTGCCCCAAAGTCCTTCACCGTCTGGCATCTATGGACTGAGAAACTTCCAACGTCAATAAGCGGTGTGGGAACACCGGTGTTCATCTGCCTGTGGCTCTGTGATGGTGCAAGCAGCCAATAACAATTAAACGTTTTCAGCTGTCCAGGTAGCTGAGTGCAGGAGAGGAAAGACACGGCTGTGGTGTGCCTGTCCTTGCCAAGGATGCTCGCACCCCTCGCTGTGGGGCTCCTTGGTTCGTGGCTATGCGGGGCGGCGGGGGGCTCGGTGGGGGCTCTGCTGGTGTGCCTTACCTCATGGGCTTGAACATGGCTTTCCCAAAATCCTGGAACCTGAGGACCAGCTTCAGGTGCACACCGCTGGGCTTCACGACTTGGGGAGGAAACAGGACGTTAGCCGCCTGGAAAGCCTCCCCCGCGGTTAGCTGGGGGGACACACCGGTGTGATTTCAGCTTTCCACCCCGGTGAGCGTATCCCATCGCTGCTTCCAGCTGCTCCCCTCTGCTTTGGTGCTTCTCCCCTCTGCTTCTGCAGTTATTTTTCCTTTCACTCCTTCTCCACTGTGCCATAGAGGAGATTTCCCTCCAGCACTTCTCCCTACAGCCATTTGTTACGTCCTCTTGGGGACTTTTTCCTCCCCCCCGTAGAAACCAGTGGCGTACTGGTATCCTGGCACCCACATCTGGGGTGGCAGGGTTTAATTGGAGGGAGAAGGGGCTGGCGTTGCCTGGCTTTACGTTTCCCTTGCTGAAGTTAGGGTGGAGGAGTTGGGCACTGGGGTCAGTGGAAGCGATGGCATGTGGGGGGACAGCAGGGACCCGAAGCGTCACACTCACTCTGGCTGCAGTCGCAGGCCCCCAGCAGCGCTTTCTCGTCCTGGCTGTAGTCTGCAAGGGCAGGAGGAGCGGTGAGACCCTGCTGGGCTCAGTCTCTTGCTGCTGACCCCCCTCCCAGCATGGGGTATGCAGGGAGGCACTGCCTGCCTGTTCCTGCCTGCCCGTGGCCCCAGCCTGGCAGCCTCGGTACCATCGGTGCGCGGCGAGGGGTGCAGTCCCCTCGGGGATGGCTGAGGCAGCCTGTTGGGACTAAACTTCCATGCAATGGGTCCCTGGCATGGTTGGCACCGAAAAATGCTGCATCAAGGGTCACAGCCAAGTCTTTCCTCCCATCTCAAGGTAAGGGCACGGCAACTGCACAGCACAGCACAAAACCTGCCGGGAAGCTGGCACAGGGCTTGGGGTTTCCTCCGGCGAGCAACAGCCCCTGCCTCGTTTGCAAAAGTGACCTGGGGAGGCTGGAGACCCCCAGCCCTGTGCAGCTCCCGATGGCCACATCCCTATCCCTGCGGCAGGAGGGTGCTTACCGGCACTGATAGTGGTGAAGCCTTGCATGTCCCGGAGGAGCCTGCTGACGGCAGGGCTGGAGCGCGGGTAGAGCCCGTCCCGGCTGATGCCCAGGTGGAACTGGAGCCAGCTGGCCTCTGGCCGGAGCGGCAGCGGTGCCGCTGGGGAGGTTAGGTTCAGCTCCTCCCTGTAAAGCTTGTGTCTCCTAGAAGAGAGCGGTTATGGGGTGATGAAGATGAGCCCTGGGATGGAAACACTTACTGCTCTGAGCCCAGAGGCTGTTGGGGAGCGTGGAAGGTGCTGGGGAGCAGAGCCGGGGGACATGGGGTGGATAAGGACTCTGGGTGCTACCCGAGGGGAAACTGAGGCAGGGAGCAATGACTGAGATGGTCAAAGGTCTCACAAATTGTGCCTGCTTCCCTCTGCAAAGCCCTGGGAAAGCAGCCCCAAGCGGGAACACAAGGGACTCTGTTGTCTTCTCCTCACCCCATCAGAACCAGAAGGGGTGTCAGGGTGTGGCTGGAGCTAAACCGTGTCTCCAGCAACACAAGAGCTGGCCTATGTGATGGATGAAATGCTTCCTGGAGGGACTGCAGGCTCCAGGCCAGACCTGGGGAGGGGATGTGATGTGACAGCAGATAACTTGGGTCTTAACTGTTCAGTGAGGTGTCCAGAGAGCCCAGGAGAACAACAGGGTCTTCTCTGAGTGAGCCTCCACAGAAGACTATCTTTACGGTCATTACATCTCCACCAGTATTTTTTCCTGAAGCTGGAGGTCCCAGGCAGGGAAAAAAAAATCACTAAGAGCCACAAGTCACCTTTGTGACCAGATTGACAGCCCTCAGTCCGGCAAGCAGGGATGCGGTGAGGCCGCCCAGCAGCGTCCTGCTCATCACCTCTTAAAATCAAGGTTGAACTCAGCCCTTTCTTGGCAGGTGGAGCCGAAGGGGCCTCCCAGGTTCAATAATAACCCCAAAACTTCTCCTCACTTGATCAGCATTTTCCTTGACCTTGAGATGTCCACAGCTGGGACCCGTGCTTTGCTAAACTGCAATTGAAAGGTCACTTATTCCACCTGGCAGAGGACAGAGAATTAGTTTCTCATTAACGCTGGCTAAGCCGTGTACGGAGTAGCTGGTCCTGATAAAGCGAAAACGAAGTTCAGTTTGCACTGAAAGTGCCAAGATACATCCATGAACGAAAACAGGAGCTGGGGCTGATAACGAGTGAGGCATTAACCAAGGCTGGAATGGAGAGGCTGAAGAGAGGGAGATACCGCACGCCTCGCTAGACCCAATCCAGACCCTTAGCAAAACACGCTCTGGGAAACACAAAAGATGAAGAGGCTTTTCCCTGCCCGCCTTTAGTTTTTCCTAATTTTTCCTAAATTTTTAGGTTTTGCCCAACGCAAACAAAACTAAAAGCAGGGAGGAGAGGGAGGCTTTTCAAGTGTGGTGGGAGCGGGGAGCACGTGCGGGCACCCGCAGGCACGGCAGGGTGTCCTCCGGGGTGGTGGCGTGGCTCTGCCGGGGTTTGCCGCGCTGCGTGGCCTGCGGCGGCGGCTGCAGCAAGCAGGTGCTGACCAGGCACCGAGTCGGTCATCAGCCAAGGCGTTGGCAGTGGTGGCTGGGAAGGGCTCATGGGCATTGCTGGGTTTTCTTGCTGCTTTGCTCAGACCAGCAGGAAAGCATTGGGTTTCGGTTGGGTTTTTTTCCATCATCCTTCTCCATCCAAGCAGGCTAAACAGTGTGGTTAGTCCGGTCTAACCATGAGCAAGGGGTGAACGCCTCTGGTGGTGAGGGACACGTTTCAGTAGCGTCCTGGGAGAAATCTAGGGAACAGAGAGACGTGGCATATCTGCAAGGCAGAGCAGCCCATTCCCTCTCCCAGTTTGTTTGCCTTTCAGTTGGAGCAGGTCAGCTGCAGCACGAAGCCTGCATGCACGTGGTCAGGAATAAGGGTGTCGGAGCATTTCTCCATCGATCCAGTTTAGGAGGAAGCTCAAGTGACTGGCAGCTCAGTGCCCGAGGGGAGGAGCGTGTGCTGCTGGTGGGGTCTCGCCTGGCCCCACGCCGGCCGCTCTGCAGGGACAGGGCTTGTTGGGGACATCTCTTTGCCCAGGCCACCTGCAAAGGAGGCAGAAGCTGCCCCTGAGTCAGGATTAGTCAGGAGGAGGCGGACACGGGAGCGTGCTAAGACTCGTCGGCAGGTTTGGCTGGCAGGCTGTGCACAAGGATGTGGCCCCAGGACGCTGTCGGCTCCAGTGGACGTGCTTCAACCTTCCAGTGCGCTGCCGTGCACCAGGTCTCGTGTGGGCAAGTCTTTGAGGCACGACCTTAACCCCCCGCCGCGGCCAGGGACAATAAAGACCCCAGTGTAATTTAGAACAATGACTCAGGATTTTTCCCTAGGGAAGCTGCCCAAATATTTTACCATATTTGCTCTCCTGCCTCCCATACACACAGGCTGTTCCCCCCCGGGGTGGCAGTGAGCAATAGATTACTGATGGGGAAAAAAATGCAGCGGTTATGCAAGGGAAGGCAGTTCCCGGCCGGCAGCTGCTTCCCAGCCCAGCGCCCGCATGGTCCCTGCCCTGGGTGCACTGCTGCAGGGCCAGCGAGCCCCTTTCCAGCCTTTAAACCCAAAATACAGCTCTCTCTGCCTCCCCGTTTCCTTCAGGATTCCTGAAATATTTTCCTGTAAGAACAGAGCTCTGCAAAAGACATAATGATATAAAACCCATGTTCATTTCTAACTTGCTATAAATAGCCCCGGGGTCGCCCTAGCTCTCTGCACAGCCAGCTCGCTGCTGGGCTGCGAGGGGCACGGCGTGGGGTGATGCTGGGCACAGACCACTGGTGTCTGCTTGCCCCGTGCCTCCCCCGGCAGTGAGCCGGTTACAGAGTTTGGGGTTTTGAAGCTGTTCCTTCAAGGATAAAAATAAGCTCTGGACTTTTTAAGGGTTTTTTTTTTTTTTGGTTTTGAAGAGGTGTGGATGGTTTTTTGCTGTTTCCTTCCTGCATCCCCATCAGTCTCTCCAGCTGGTTTTGCATCCTGCAATCAAACTCCTGGTCCTAATTGAAGTGCCGGGGAAAAGCACGGTGATGGGCAGCAGCCAGCATGCAGCGAGCACCGTGGAGGTAGGACACACACTGCTGGCCATGCTCCCCTGGCCATGGGTATCCGAAACGGGCCATATCCTGGGGCCACTCCGTGAGCTGGCAGAGAGTCCCAGTCCAGCTGACGTCCATTTGGCCGCAGAAATGAAGACAGGCACGCTGTGCTGTAGGTACAGGGTTAAGCTACAGCTTGTTCCACTCAAGAGGAGCATCCTGCCACTCTGAAAGCTGCTTTGCCAACAGTCAGACCTACGCATGATGCAGAAACGTGCCCTGTCGCCCAGTCAAACCAAGGAGGGGCTGGCCCATGGACACTTAGCTCTGACCCTCTTCTGCCTGGTAGTGGATGTGGTCACGCCTTGGTGAGAGCTGGTGTGGACCTTGCTCCCGCAGCAGTATCTTCAGTCCTCAACAGCAGCAGCTTTGCTAAACCTATGGATTGGGAGAGAAAGCCATGGGTTCCTGGGTCCTGCAGAGGACACTGCCCGCCGCTCTCAGCAAACATGGGGACAGCTCTTTCACTGATCACGTCGGAGAGGACACGGGCTCCGCAGTACTTCTGGTGAGGCAGAAATTCCTCCATGCCCACAGCAAATTATTGGTCTTATGAAATGCATCAGCCCTGGCAAGTGCCGTCTTATTATATATTCCATTTGCAGCGCCAACGGCAGGAGAGTTTGTGTGTCACCTTGGCCTGTGCATGCTCTCTGAAGGCTTTACCCGCTTATGAGCACCGTATATTTCATTTCAAAGTAACTGAGGAGACTCTGCCTCCCTTCTCCTTCCCGGAGGTGCAAAGTGAAGTCAACCAAGGGCAAACGGCATCACAACTTTCCTCCCTGCCACATCATAAGCAAACCTCAGAACAAAACCCAATGTGCAGCCACGGCTTAGTTGCAAATAGCGCGTTTAAACAAAGCAGTAAATAAAGTCGGGAAATGCAGACTTCTCACCAAACAGCCGGGGCTGTCCCGCAGGCGAGGCTGGTGTGGATATAATGCCAGCACTGCTGCAAGCGCTTGGCACTGGGTGCTCAGAGCTTCTGGTGGTGCTCAAGGAGCCATCAAGTACGTGCCATGAGCTGCTTCGGTTCGATTCCCCCATCCCCACCAGGCTTTTGCTTGGGAAACACCCATCTTGCTGCCCAAATCCCGATGTCTTCAGGAGGCATTGCTCAGCTCCGAGAAGATGCACCCAAGGGGGGTCCGTGGTACAGCCTGGCCGTGGCGTGTGTCCCCAGGGATACCCAAACGTGTGTCCCCAGGGATACCCAAACCCACCGCCCACGGACTTCAAGCGATGTGAAGAAGGATTCAACCTGCTCCAGACTGACTCCGGCAAGGGATGAGCCTCGCAGGGGTGACCCCTGGCCGAGCACATGGGGCAGCTCCAGGCCCTGGGCGCTGCTCAGGCCATGGAGGTCATTCTTTGGTTCCTTCCTTATCGCTTCCCATCGTCTCCTCCTGCGAATTGTGCCTGAAACTGAGACTGGGTGAGTCCCATAGAAATAAGAGGAATACGCATCAAAGTGGAGAAAATGGGAGCTTGGAAATCCTGCCCGCATGGTTCAGCAAACAGCATGTGGGTGACGGAAGGAGCAGGGGACAGGTCTGATGCTGGAAACCAAATATGGGCAGCGGGGAAGTGCCGGGACAGGGACCTCCGAGGTGGTCCACAGGAGATGTTGCTGTCCCCTTGCAGGTGGGCACCATCCCTGTCCCATGAAGGGGGGCAGCAAGGTGACGCTGTCAGCTTGGCACGCTGGGAGCCTCTGCGCAGGGGCACTGCGGTGACCCGCTCTGGCACCGCATCACCATGGCCGTCCCTGTTGGATCCAAGTTTGCGCGTGAGGGAAGAAGCTGGGGTGCAGGGAGAAGCAGGGATGCCGGGGAACGCTGGCTGTTTCCAGCTTGGACGCAACCCTCCTGGAAGAGGGGTTAGATCGGGGGTTCAGGGGCCCCGGGGGTCGTGGCAGTCGGGTCATGCACAGGCGGCCGATGCTCAGAGCTGGTGCTGAGGGTCACCGTCCCCTCCGAGGCAGGGACCATGGGCGTTAGTGACAGTCCCAGCCCAGGAGCAGGAGACG